CGAGTGTTTTGATCATCTCAAAAATATTCTTTATAAAGTTTATAAATCATCTGTCCACCAAGGAGTTTTTCCTGATCGTCTAAAAATTGCAAAAGTTATTCCAATTTTGAAAAAGGAGACTGTTGCAATATCAGTAACTATCGCCCTATATCTATCCTTTCTACCTTTTCAAAAATCTTAGAGCGTATTATGTACAATAGAGTATACAATTATCTTGTCTCCAATAATCTTTTTTATTATAATCAATTTGGTTTTAAAAAAAATAATTCTACCGAACATGCAATCATCCAGTTTGTACGAGAAATCTCAAATTCCTTTCAAAGATCCCAATATACATTAGGTGTTTTTATTGACTTGTCGAAGGCTTTTGATACTGTCAACCATGAAATCCTTCTTGAAAAACTAAAATACTACGGATTAAACTATATAACTATAAAATGGCTTCGTAGTTACTTATCAAACCGCAAACAATTTGTTTTTATTAATAACTATAACCAAAGCCATTTGCTAAATATTTCCTGTGGTGTTCCCCAAGGCTCTATCTTGGGGCCACTTTTGTTCTTAATCTATATAAATGACTTAAATAAAGCCTCAAACTTAATGAGTATCATGTTTGACGACGACACCAACTTATTCCTGACCAATAATGACATATCCAAACTCTTTTCTACAATGAATGATGAACTCAAAAACATATCTACTTGGTTCAAATGTAACAAGTTAACTCTTAACATTAATAAAACCAAATGGGTTCTTTTCCATTCACTCTCTAAAAAACGCTATTTACCCCAACATTTGCCCAAAATATTTATTGATAAAGTTGAAATAAAAAGAGATTTTGTTACTAAATTTTTAGGAGTGGTTCTCGACGAGAACATTACATGGAAACCGCATATAGAATATATCTGCTCAAAAATGTCTAAAAGTAACGGAGTCTCATATAAATCTAGATCATATTTAAACAAAAAAGCCTTAACCTAACTCTATTATTCATTTATTCACACCTATCTTAATTATGCTAACATTGCGTGAGGAAGCACCGAAAAAAGTAAGCTAAAATGCCTTTTTCGCCGTCAGAAGCATGCGATCCGATTGATTAATTTTGCAGATCGTTTTAATCATTCCAAACCATTATTTATGAAGATGAAAATACTTAATATTTACGAGCTCAATGTTTATAACATTTTATGCTTTATTTACATGTGGAAAAACGATTTAACTTTACCTGTCTTTAAAAACCTTTTTTCTCTAAACCCAATTAATAAATATTTACTTAAAAATAAAAATTTTGTACATGAACCTATTTGCAGAACAAAATTTAACAAATTTTGCATTACATTTCAAGCACCCTATCTTTGGAATAAAATTGTTATACCTAATTTTGATATATCCAATACATTTCCGATCTTTAAAAGTAAACTTAAAAATTTTGTTTTATCTATTGATGATATATCTAAATACTTTTTATAGCAATCACGTATTTGTCTTTTTAATTGTAAGACTTGTATTTTCTCTTGCCTTTTAAAAAAAGAGATGTATTACTGTATTTACTATGTATATATATGTATTTATATATTTACGTTTTTATAAGATCTGATGATATGATCAGACTTTTTATTATATATAACATTAGTGGTTTGATTTATATTTCCAATTTATATCACGATTTATTGTAATTTTTTAGTTTTGTTTATGTATTGATTTTAAAAAAATTGTAAAAGGTTCTGATGATAAAATCATTACGATCTTCTTTCAGAAGCCTTGTCTGTTTATCTTTGTAAACAACGACAAAAACAAAAAAACAAAAAAACAAAAAAAAAAAAAAAATGGTTTGCACACAGAAAAAGAAAAACTAGAAGTAGGAAAATTTGGGGAGAATGTTTCAAAAAAGCTTAAGTTTAAAAAAAAAAAAACGCTCGATGCGGTCAAGTATCAGAAACGACATAATGAGAAACTTTTAAACAGGGGCGCTGAGAGCTTTTGCCCTGCCTGGAACAGCAATTCTGACTGGCGTCCTCATTTTTATACAATTTTTCTATATTATTAGTCAAGGACCTTAGTTTTGGTATCTTTTTTGTTTTACACCCCTGCTGATCTGAATGCTGATTAAATTTTAAGCATATATAGTGCCGAAGCTTCGGCTTCGGCAAAATTTCAGCTTCGGTACATCCCTAGTTTTTACTATATTACTTGCTCTACTAATTATATAAAACGCTGTATTGAGCACTCTTACTGGAAATATTAACATAATTCCTACAATATATATATATATATATATATATATATATATATATATATATATAATATATATATATATATATATATATATATATATATATATATATATATATATATATATATATATATATATACATATAGAAAGCCTTTCGTTGGCTGTTTCATTCTTGGTGGTTTTAATTTCTCGAATATAAAATGCTTTTACATTATATTATATATTTTTTTAAATATAATTTTTTTAACAAATATTGATAATTATTTTATTAAAAAAAATAATTTCAAAAAGTATACTTTTTTAACTAAAAAAAAAAAAAAAAATGATTTTGCGCTATATCTACTTGAGTACTAAAGTTCGGAAACGGATAAAATATGGAAATGCGGAAACCTTCAACGGGTAAAATGCTGGAATAACCCCAGTCATATCGCTACCTCAACTTAAACCATCAGTTGATGTAGCAGCACTCCTTGCATGTTCTCTATAAACCAATTGATGTATGCACTGAAGCTTACAAGCCCTTAACCCTGTTTCCGCATTCCCCCCCCCTCTTTTTACCGATTAAAACCTCTACCAATGTTTCAATTTACTTTTTTATGAGGCTTGTTGAACAAGCAGACATTAATTTTTTTTCAAATAAGACTTTGAAATTAAATTATTACATACCTCTAAAAACTAAAATAACTTATTCAGTTGCGTTTATATTTTCCTGTTCAAGTTTGTTTATCTAATAAAACCTTAAAAAGCCCAAGTCTTTAAAAGGGTAAAGCGATGTCCAATAAATTTACCCTTTTAAAGGGTAAGTCTTTAAAAGGGTAAATTTATTGGTTATTCTGATTGGTTATTGAGTTTTTATTTTATATTTATCTAAATTAAATTCTATTTACAAAATCAATATTAATTTCAATAATAAAACTTAAACAAACCCAAAATTTTTTCAAAGAATTAAGTTAATGCAAATGATTTTTCATGATTCTTATGACTAGTTGATTATACGCTACAAAAAACACAAAAATTATGAGACTGTGGTATTAATCAGACTGACGGGTTCTAAATGTTTTTATTTTCTATCACCATTATGTATTAATATGACATTATTAATACTCTTGTTGCTCTAATTATTACTTTGATATCTTTTTTAAAAAAAATTGAAATTGTTTTTCTATTATAATCATGATTATATTAGTCCAAACTATAATTTCTTAAAAAAGACTGGGACTAATTTACTTGACATTCTCATAAATACTTGAGTATGCGGACCTCCAATAAATATATTATAGTAAGCTTTACGGGTGTGAAAGTCATTATGGCAGCTAGAATTATTTTAATTTAATTTTTTGTAATTATTATTGTTTAAAGTCATGGTTTACAATTTTTTAGTCATGAACTGAAATTGGTTAACTCTTCAGCAGCCCCCATATAAAAAGCTGTTTATAATAATTGTTAATAGTAAAATTGTTGGAAGCTGCATCCAAATCAGAGACAAAAGCTAAACAATCTGATTTGTATATCTAGCTTAAGAGTCAGTTCCCATTTGTGTTACATTTCATTCTAAAAAGAATTTTAATATTTATAAGGTGTTTTTGGGCTTTTTGCTATTCGCTGTTGACCACAGGTGCTTGATGTGCTTAGGTCTAATAGTTGTAGGGGCAAACCCAAATTGTCAATAGAACTTGTCTTAAAGTTTGTTGTAGTTTTAATTGTATAATTAATTCAAATGCATTTAAAGCAAACTTTAATGCCAATGCTAGTATTTCTCAATAGGGCAGTGACTTTCTGCTTAATCAAACAATTTTCTCTATCTGTAACCATTAATTTTTGTACATAGACTGGTTTACATATATTGTGGCTTATATTTTTGTTTTAAGGATTATATTTGGTTTAAAAAATATTTTAAAATAATGTTTATGTAGTTCTTTTTTAAATTAAGTTTTGTGGAGATAAAAAACAGTTTGATGGTCTATAGAAGTACTATATTTATACTTTCAATTGATTGATAATTTACTTGTATTGATGTTTTATGAAAAAAAAATATATACCAGAATTTACAACAGATCTGCCTCAATTGTTAGTTTTTATCTTGCACAATTATTGTATAAAAATGATTTCAACATAGTGCAATACTAACTCCTTGCATGTTCAACCTAATTTTCAGTCAATCTAGGAGCATTCCTCACATGTTCTCCCTTATTGTCAGGCAAAGTAGTGCTGCTACATCAACTGAGGGTTTGGCAAGGGGCATCAATTTTATCATTCTTTGTTTTTTTCTTCTTTTTCTAAATGCTGTATGCTATAAAAATTGAAAAAACTAGTAACAATTTGTTATCTATATACACTAGTATATATAAAAAAGTAGAACATGCAAGGAGTGCTGCTACATTGACTAAAAGTTTTGATTTGATTTAAAGGTTTTATCACTTAAATTTTTTTTTTAAGTTTTAAAACTTTTTCTCATATTCTAAATTAAGTTTTTTAATTTTTTTCTGAATTAGAGTTGGTGTTTTAAAAATTAAAATGAACAGAATAAATTATTACCATGTTAACCTTAATCTGCAGAAGTAAATAAGTTCAGTACAAAATTGTAATAATAATAATTATAGTTATAATAGCATAATAATAACAATAATATATGCAACGATGATGATGATAATAATAGTAATAATAATGATAATAATAATAAAAATAATAATAATATTAACAGCAATAATCATAATAATAGTAGTAACAATATTAATTATAATAGTAATAATTTTGCATTAAATTTGTTTTTAATTATAGAATTTAAATTATATAAATGTGTATACGCTTATATAAAAACATTTGGTATATATTTTTTAGCCATGGATGTTCTATCATTTTTATATTTTATCTTTGTTTTGCAACTGTGGTATGTTGAAATAAAAGGTATATATTTTTCTTACTAAAATGTTTCAGTCAAATAAATAAAATCACATTTGATGATGATGATGATGATGATGATGATGATGATGATGATGATGATAATGATGATGATGATGATGATGATGATGATGATGATGATGATGATGATGATGATGATGATGATGATAATGGCGATGAAGCATTTTTGAGGGTTTTGAAAGCATTTTTGAAATTTTGAGGTTTTTGAAAATATTTAAGGAAATTTTAATGACTGTCAAACCAAAGAAGATTGTGGTGCATGTATCAAATCTGTATCTCCACAGTGTGCTTGGTGCGAAGATATCGTAAGTTAAACATTTAAGACTAATTAAAATATTAAATAAGTTTTAAAATCTTTTAAGTTAACATTTTATTATTATACATTTAATTATTTTATATTTATTATAAGTTATTAGTTTACCTTTATTATTATTAGTTAATATTTTAAGAATGAAATACAGATATGTATTATATTATAATACAATATCAGTTGATAAGTGGTCCAAAACACTGCATCTCTTACATATCCTTTTTCTGTGATTTAACTGGCTTGTTTAACTCTTTTGTTACCGATACCCCGCATAGCAGGTAATAAAATATATCATTAAAATACCAGTACCCCGCATAGCGGTGGATGAAGAGTTTTGCTTTCTGTCAACCCCGGGTTTTTTGAGCGACTTTAAAACTTAGCTTAATAGAAACTAGAATAATAATCCAATCATACAGTGAAAACCGCATGAAAAAAGCTCTGTTAGATTAGCTGTTATTCAATTTTGAAAAATGGCTAGTTCATAGTGTTTACGTCAAAAAAAATCTCAAATATTGACGAAATTTTAAACTTTGTACTTGAAGAAAGTGACAAAGATAGCAATCAAAGTATTGATCTTGGTGATAGTGACTTGAGTAATAATGAGGATGATAATTTAATAGAATTTGAAGTTGAAAACAGTATGACTTCTACTAATATTTAAAGAAAAGTTCAAGTTACAAATAAAAACAATGTCGATAAATTGGAAGCTGCTGTTCCTTTTTCTAATTCTATTTTACCATCAATTAACTATACTGAAAGTGAAAGCTTTTGCGTTTCAAGCACAAGTGACAGCAAAATTGAGACTTTTGACACTCATATAAAGAGCCCACGTACAAGAGGTGGAGGTATCAGACGTGTACGTGTTCGAGGGGGTACTGGTATTCAATGTAATAATAAAGTAATTTCTGTTAATAGTGATGCTGATCCTATACATGCTAACAATAGAGAACCTATTGCTAATGATGCTGCATTTAATGTCAATATACTTGATAATGTTCTCCAAGGTAGTATGCATAAACATTGTAGAGTGCATCATTGTGGTAGAGTGCCTAATCGTGGTAGAGTGCCTAGTTGTAATAAAGTACGTAATAGTAGTCAGAAACTTCCTCTGTCAACTTGGGAAAAAGTTGATAAAGATGTTCCTCTTTAAAAAGCTCCCTGAACTTTTTAACTTTTTAACTTTTAGGGTTTAAATGTTAGAATGGGGAAAAACCCAACTTGTCTTGATTTTTTTGAACTCTACTATCCAGATGAACTTATAACTTTGTTAGTTGCAGAAACCAATCGGTATGTAAGGCAGTTTTTTGCTGCTAATCCAGATAACTCTTCTTTTGTGGGAGGAAACTAATGTTGCAGAAATTAAAACCTTTATTGCTGTCATTCTTTTAATGGGAGTTATTTATAAACCCAAACTTAGTATGTATTGGTCAAAAGATGCATTGTATAATACTCCAATTTTTTCAGAAGTTATTAGTCGAAATCGTTTTAATATATTATTAAAGTTTTTTCATTTTAATAACAATGAAGATGAAAATTATGATGCAACTGATGAAAACAGAAATCGCCTTCATAAAGTACGACCAGTCATAAATATTCTGCGTAATCGATTTAAAACTGTATATAAACCAGGAAAAAATCTTAGTGTTGATGAATCGCTTGTCCTTTATAAGGGTCATTTACATTTCCGTCAATATATTAAAACCAAACGTGCTCGTTTTGGGATAAAGTTGTATGAACTAGCAACTTCAGAAGGAATAACACTAGACTTTCTTGTATACTGGGGTAAAGGAATGTTTGCTGATGATGATATAAATGATCAGATGCCTTCATCAGCAAGAATATTATCTGTGCTCATGGAACCTTTTATGGGTCACACTCTTTATACAGACAATTATTACACTAGTACAACACTTGCAAAGTATTTTCTTGATAACAAGACACATCTATGTGGCACAATTAGGTCAAATCGATATAATTATTCAAAAGATATTCTTAATGAGGTTTTAGAAAAAGGGGATGCAGTTTTTTATAAAAATAATGATGTAAACAGTCAAATGCTCGCTTGCAAATTCCGTTCATCAAAGATAAAGCTTCAGGTAAACAAAAAGTTGTCTACATGCTATCAACATGTCACCAACCATCCATGAGACTTATTGAAAATACTCGTGGAATAAATATTTAAAAACCAATTTGTGTAAAAGAATACAATGGCCAGATGGGTGGTGTAGATTGTGTTGACCAACAACTCCAGAGCTTGCACCTGTTACAAAAAACTTACAAGTGGTATCGTAAACTAGCATTGAGGCTTATTTCTCAGGGTATTTTAAATAGCCATAAAGTTTTTGTAAAGTACACTTGCCACAAGAGTACCACTTTCTTAGATTTTCTTCACGACATAATTAAAGTAATATTTTTATCATCACTTAAGTTAAACAAATCACTTGTTCCTGATGGTACTATACACAGGCTTACTGAGCATCATTTTCCAGGAACCAAACAGCCATCACATGATGCAACAGATAGACGTCCACCTAAATTATGCAGAGTTTGCTATGCACGACGAATTTTTAATAACAATGGCGAACCACTAAAAACTGTGCATGTATGCAAAACTTGCCCCGGTGAGCCAGGGCTACATATTGATAGCTGTTTTGAAATCTATCACACAGTGCTAGATTTAGTGTAGAAATTAGTGTATACCCATGTTTCTTTATTTGACATGTTTTACTGTTGTTACTTTTTGATTTTTTTATTTATTTTTGTTCTTTTTTGAAGAAAGCATCATAATTTAAATTTTTGACCTAAAGACTCACTAACCTAATAAATATAATAACTTATGATAAAATGATGTTCAAGACTTGAAACTTTTCAGAATTACTTATTATAATTGTCTGATTGTTGACTCTAAATTTGAAAAATATCTGATATAAATAAGATACATTTTTATTTGATTAAACTTACAATTAAAATATTATTTAGTTTTCAAAATCCGCCGTTAATTATCACAAGACCTGATATTTTTTTTTTTTTTTTTTAGTTTTAGTTTTATTTTATGAAAGATAAATTGCTACTTTAAAAAGGAGCCAATTTTTAAATAAATTGAACATTTTTTAAACCCATAATGAAGTTTCGATGGTAGTTGGGTTAAAACACCATTTTTTGTCACGGTAATATAAGGTTGCCGAGCCCGGTAACGAAAGGGTTAAAATAATTATTTTATCTTTAAATGTTAATTGAACTTATAAAAATTTTTAAGTAACCTTGAAATAAGGTTTTAAGTTACTTGATATAATAAAAATATATTCTAACATATTTATTTGCATTGTTTAATTTAGAATTGATTTCGAAAAGTTTTAATAACAAAAAATAACTATTATAGGTTCATGTTAAGTCATGACAATGACTTTAACCTGATTCTATATTGTGGCAAGTGAGGTTCCTTACTGTGGTAAAAGCAACTTACCTATGCACACACAGGAAAATAAAATTTTTAATATAAATCTTGCAATTTAATTCTGGGTAAGTGTAGGAGGAGCTTTTAAATGTTGGATATATAATTTTTCTATTATTGCAATAAAAATCAGTTCTGACATTTGCAAAAAAGTTTAATGCCAGAAAAAGCATCTAGTTTTTAAGAATTAAAACCAACATAATATGACATTCCAACCTTTTTATGTCATTTAAATAAAAGGTATTTTTTTATTTATTCTGGTTCACTCCCAACAAGGCTGCAACTAACCACTATTTAGTTAGGAGTTACTAGAAAAAAAGAATAGAGTTATAGAACAAAGAAATGGTTGACAGAAGACTTAAAAAGTTGAAGATTGTATGAGTCAGGAAAACATAAAGATGGGAGAAAGTTCCAAAGGGTTAAAGTGCGGGGAAAAAAGCCAGGCGAATAAAAGTTTTCGGAGCATGCTGGGACAAATACAGTAAAAGAATGAGACTTTGATGAATGACGAGTCAAGCGAGAATGAGTTTTGGTTGATGGAACTAGAGATAAAAGCAGCCATGATAGTATTTGTAGAAAAGAGATGCAACTTTACAACAACGGGAAAGAGGCGATTTGACCACGGCATATTTTAAAAATTTAAAAACGCGCTACAAAAACTTACCTAAACTTATCTGGAAAAAAAATTTAAAAAAATAATAAATATTAACGAAAAAGAAAGCAATAGTCATAGCAAAATGTAACTTGCGTGGTCATATAAAGACGTGAAATAGCAGGTCTTCCTGTGAAAGCTTGTAAGTAGTGAAATGATAGGATGAATCTGAAAATGAAGTTTGAGATGAAAGATTTAAAGAGATCATTATGAAAACTTGTCCACATTACACAGAGTACAGAAACATGGATGTTAAACAAGAAAAAAAAG